ATCTCATCTCACGCTCCTCCACACCCTGAAAATGGCTTCGTCAGCCAAAAATGTGACCAAATAGTGCAAGTCCACCGAACGCGTCAACAACGTGTCAATCTCGCAGATAGTGCTTATCTTTATCTGTCGTCAAGATGGGGAATATAGATCGAGGCAGAGATAATCACTGCATGTAGGGTCCGCCGTTGCTGCGACTGCCAAGAACACTACAGTTTGTATATGCCCTTCTAGATCTGGTAGTTGCACAGCTCACCTTGCACACATAGCTGCCTAGCTCAGCACAGACGTGCTGGACAGCCCTACCCTGTACTCTAGCATAACAACCTTCACTGTAGTTAGCAAATGTAATATATACATTTGCATCTCCCTTTGCCTGTCACACATTAATATTAATATATTATCATGTCAAGGTTAGCATTTGCCATTCAAGCACATCAAACCTTGAGTGGGTGTTGAGATTGTCATGGTGCTGTTTGATGGAGTCCAGCATTGAGAAGGTATTTTTTATGAAGGAATGTCATTAACAAAGGTAAGGTGGGTCCCGCCCTACATCTGTGTATACTAAAGTGGATACCCATGGAAGAGGAGCACCATGTTGAAACTACTTGTGACCAGTGAGCTTCAAGCCCTTGTCTGCCAGTTCTTGCAACAGCCTGGTAAGCACATTGGCCACATTGATGTGCTTAGCAGCACAGATTGCAATAATAACTGTGAAAGTATTAGTGCTCTTGCTGTGTCATATGAAAGGGACTGACAAAGCACCCAGAACCAAACTGCCAGGTACAGCCCAATCACCTACATCCAGACTGTTTCCATGACAATGTTGACCAGCATGATTGGAAGACAGATGACATACATCACCCACCACACTGTGTACTCCAGCCAGTCAAACATCCTCCCCTCAGGTGGCATCACAAATTGTTTTGTCACCCAGTGACTGTTGTGGGACATCACTTTGCCCACGTCACAGAGACAATTGACCCCATGTCCTGCAGCAGGAGGAAGATGCCAGGAGAAGTCTTGAGGGGGCACTGCAGAGTTGGCAGCAACCCTGTCTATGGTGTGACATTCAACAAGATGGGCTTCTGTGGTGGTGGGATGGCAAGCTGTCATGTGACTGGTTGTGCAGCTCAAGGAATGAGGGGGGAGGGGAGGGGGCATGTCACCTGGAGCGCATAGCTTGATGCATTCACTGTCCCAGGAGGAAAAGGAGCCAATAGATGGGATGAGGGAGAGCTCAATGTCCTGTTTCAAAGTTAGCACATGCATACATTGACCAGCACCATGACAATCTCAGATGAGATTGGGTTGCTGCTTGACTTCCATTGAACAGCACCATGACAATCTCATACAAGATTGGGTTGCTGCTCAACTTCCATCAAACAGCACCTTGACAATCTCTCATGAGATGTCATCAAGCCAAGCAAAAGGACATACCTCTTGAGCTCCATGTCCCTGCTCCTTCTGCTGCATCACCAGGCAACTCAAAATCCCTCCTATCTGTCCCATGGTCACTGACTGGATGAGTTCCTCCAGCTTGCCTGGCATCCAGTCCTGAGCTGCAAGATGAGTGTATGACAGCACCACCATGGCTGCACATCCATGCAAGTGACCTGCTTCGGGGTCAGGGATGCTGTTGCCTATCCCTTGGTGCCTAGCACCAAGTCCCAACTCTAAATCTACCATGGACGTGGCCTCATGCGCCTTTCCCTTTCCCTTCAATTGCTTCATGTTGTTTTTGGCATTCTTTCTGCCATTGGCATTGAAGAACCCCAGGAATCATTCCGCCAGCAACCCTTTGACCAGGCCACTGCCTAGACCACCATCTAGGCTTATGACAGACATTGTATACTCTTCATTATTCTTGGTAGGCACTCTTCTTCAGTAGGGTTGGTGAATGTTAGGAAGAAGAGAGGAAGAAAGATGGAATGAGCAGCAAGCCTTTTAAATGATGTGGGATCATATTTGGTGCCCCCTATTTGGGCCACTCACTGCACAAAATATTACATTCAACCTGGATGCTGCTTGACAACCAGGGTGGGTCTCTTGTTTCCAATTACATGGGCATTTTTGAGATGGACAACAAGGCCATACATTTCTACCCTTGGCCTTGTTTGTTGTGGTGCTGTTTGATGGAGTCTGGCAGGAGATGCAGTGCATCTGGGTATCAGCATTCAGAACCTCATACAACTAAGTCATCTGGTTCCTAGTTGAGGAGGAGGAGATCTATGCACATGCCAAGGGTCATTGCTGGAACATGTGTACATGTGCCCTGTATGATGTAGGCATGGATAAGTGTCAGTATCACATGATAAGTGGCAGATCCTCAGAGGCCTAGGAGCACCTCTGACAGTGGAGCCAGATGTTCTGACCTTCCTCAACCTTTACAACCACCAACTCTGTTGCTTATTACACTGTATTCATCTATTCAAGCAATCCATTATTTAGGGGGGACAAAGTGAGTTCCATGTCTATCTAGCTGTGACTATTGAGTGCTAATGCATGTGCAGGCAAATGATGTGCTTCAAGTATGACAAACTTTCTCATGGGGATGGAGGCATGGATTGCAGCGAGGAGATCAGTCAAGGAATGAACCTGGATATGGGGTTACAGGCAGCACCAGGTGAGTCTCCAACACCTGTAGAGATATTTGGTTACTAATGCCTGCATAGGAATCATTGTCAATGACTCGCAAATGGGCATTTCACTGGCTGTGGACAGACTTGTAGTCCCCACATCCACCAATATCAATATTCACCCCACTCTGACTCTGCTTGCCATTGAACCTGAACCTGCACATGTGGGCCTCAGTGCCATTAGCCTGCAGGATGGCCCAGTTGTTGCCACTACAACCTTGGACAATCCAGATGATCCTTCTCCTTCATCCTTCATGCTTGACTCCATCAAACAGCACCATGACAATCTCACATCCACTGTCAGCCTGCGGGACAGCCCGGTTGTCACCACTACAACCTTGGACAATCCAGATGATCCTTCTCCTTCATCCTTCATGCTTGACTCCATCAAACAGCACCATGACAATCTCAACTCCACCGTCAGCCTGCAGGACAGCCTGGTTGTTGCCACCATGACCATCCATGATGCAGACAGTCCTTCTGCTTTGTCCATTTCCAAACTCATCTTCCCTACAGTTAACCTGCACCTCCCTGCTGGTTCCACTTCTGAGGGTTACTTGACTGGCAACGTGGAATGCAACACTATGCTCTGTCTCTCAGAGTACTACTGCCAGGATCCCAAGGGCATTCAGTTTCTCAAGACCTGCTTAGATGTGATCTGTGTCATCAATCACAAGCATGGCATTATGGAAGATGAGCCAGGCATGCACACTGCTCAGGCCATCATAGAGTACTTCACAGGACCACCCACATACTCATCCAGCATCTCCAGTCTCTGGTCTGGTCAGGGTCAAGGGGCCCCTCCTCCTTATGTGCAACTGGAGTCCATCTCCCATTGGGTGGATCCCCCCCCCCATACAACTCCCATGCCAAATCCCACCCCTCCCGCAATGCCTTCCCATCATGGTTGGTTTCTTCACCCTTTCTGGATGCCTTGCCACCATTCAACAGATACCAAAAGGGTGTGCCCAGTTACCCTGTGGGCCTAACTGGTCCATCTCTTGCTTTGCAACCATGCTCACCTGCTTCTCAACCTACCTCCTCTGCCTCAATTGTCCTTGCCTGCTTCTGATCAACCTATCTTGTCTGCCTCCACCACCTTGCCTGCTTCTCAACCAGCCTCCCCTAATCCTCAACCTATCTCCTCTGCCTCTCAACCTACCTCCCCTGCCTTGATTGTTCTCACCTGATTCTCAACCTATCTCCCCTGCCTCTTCCACCTCTGTGTCTTTCCTCTGCAATCTTGTCTGTTGTTTGAATTGACTAATCCACCTCAGCAGGAGGGCTCAATCTCTCTTCCTGGAGAGAGCCCATCTCAGGAGATGGGCTTTCTTGTGACCTCCATAGGCCACTTTCTTCCCATATGCCCCCCCCCCCTCCCGAAAACCCCTATGCTCTTTTTGGTTAACACCAGCCCAACCCCACATGTGTCAGTTGCAGTGAGACTTGTGACATTATTAATGGGGACATTGACCTTCATTTATTATGTGTTTACATAAATCATTGCATGGAAATCATGTATGCC